AATATTTGTAGTAAATACGTTTAATAATCGTTTTGTATTACAGATTTACTTACAATTGTACCGGTGATTATGAAAGTGGATTAAAGTACAAAATTTTGAAAAATTATTTCATTACTTATTTTGTCTTATATCGATCTATACAGTTGAAATATCTCTAAACAAAAGATATATAACTTAGTCCACTTTCATAATTGGCAGCACAATTAGCCAAAAATTTTATTTTGAATGTATCAGTTTCGTATTGTACAGGCATATTAATGTAACGTGTTACATTAATATACGTGTACATCAATATACGTGTAATATTAATGTAACGTGTTGCAGTAATTAATACAGCCATTTTAATATAATGTTTAATCGTGATACGTTAATTAATATACTTGTACTTTACTAATTTACGTAACACGTTACATGAATGTGCTTGTACAGTACAGTATGTCTCTACTTTATTAAACTTGACGTAATATTTTGTATATGTATAAATTTACAGTACATAAACATAAATATAAAAAATTAATCTAATAATCATTGCATACAAATAATAAATACCACTACGTACATTATTTTATATAACAGACTGTAAAAAATATGAATGAATCAAAATATGTAAAAGTTATTATACGTTGTAAAATTTTTTCACAAAAATCATCAATTTTTGTTTAATAAAAGATATTAATAAAAAACATGCAGCATTAATCTTAAAATTTAATTAATTTTTTTCATTTTAATAAAATACTTGTATCATAATATATTTATCCCTTTTTTTGATTTTTCCTAGTAATAGCTTATTTAGTTAAGTAAGAATTTTATTTGCTTTTTTAATTATAATCATTAAACGGTAACCTTTATTTCTAAGCTCAAAATTATCTTTGAAAATGACGATATAACGAAAGCCATAACGCATGTCGCGAAAGAAGAGAACTTTATTGTTTAATTAATAATTTTATTCATATATAATTTATTTGTGCATGTTATTAATAATTTTCATTTAAACAGCATAGATTCTTAAAATTCTGGATATCATGTTTTATTTATGTATTCAATAAATTTTCGCGTTTAAGCTTTCGCTTTTCGTGTTTTGCTTTCCCTCATAATACGTAATTTACATGATATAAAAGAAGGAAACACAGCAGCGTGTAAAACATCTCTCTCAGTGCAACACTGAGATCGATGACAGAGAAAAAGATATCAATAAATATATGTCGCACAATAAATTGTTTATTCATGTACACAATGTTTTTATATCGGACAATTTCACGGATTCCTCACGTTGCTTTTCTTTAAGATTAGATTTTTTTTTGTACTAGTAAGAGTGAATAAACTTTTCTGAATAGTATGAAAATAGTTGCGTAATATCTAAAAGAAATTTGTAAGTCAACGAAGTATATATCTGTGTGACAGCAAGTTCGTATTTAAAGGTTGGAATCTGTATGAGTAATGTCAATAAAAATGTACCGAGCTACTCGTGTCGTCGCAGAAATCGAGTCGAGGAACCGAAACAGGTGCGAATTACACTCGCAGAACGTCGTGCAAATAAATCACCGCCGATATTTGAAGTGCATATTCCTTATTTTCAATTTATTATATATCATTTTTTTTCAATGCGGCTAATTATTACGTTATGTTTATTCTCAGCCGATAGAAATTAAGCACACGTTTTCATCCGTTCTGAGAGAATGCGCCCACATCATAAATAACGAACGCAAGGAGAACGAAATGTACCTTTTACATATTTATGTGGAATAACTTTCCAAGATTCTTATATCCCGTTGTTATTTTTGACTGAATTTGATTATCGAAAGATTACGGCAGCTAATGGAGGGTGGAAGAAATCCATCGACGATATGGAGAATCGAAGAGCAGAGAAAACAAGAGGAACGGATTAAGGAGATGAAAATGTTGCAAGAACGACATTTGAGCGCATTACAGTCGCGAGAAGACGCTATTCTGGCCAAACAGCTGTTGGTGAACAATAGCAAGCTGCAAGCTGAAAAAGTTCGAAAAGAGGTGACATTGCGTTTTTTATGTTAAAATTAAAACCTTTTAAACTGCATTATTTAGAACAAAATTTAATAATAATTAATGTAAAGATGCTAGTAGTAATCACTTTTCAGTCACGCAATGCAGCATGCACGAAACATCAGTGACTATAATTATCGAGTATTCATGTCACGACACTCATTTATTTTTTTCTGTACCTATAAATTATTTATTAGTAAAACACTTCTTGTCACTGTTGCTTAACAAAAAGATATTTGCTTTACTGCTATACATATATAGTGGATAGTAATTCGAACTTTGAGCCAAGACTTTCTTCACATGCAATGTCTACCTGGGTGTATGCGCAGAACAAATCGATATAAATCTGATTATTAACTGGTTCACATTAAGGTTGTCGATTTTTACATCGATGAAAAAAAAATTATATATTGTAATATATATTTAATGCCTTTTTGCGTTGAAGAAACAGGAACTGTGCAACAAATTAAACGAATTGAGGCAAAATCAGAATAGGGACATCGCGAGAATAGTCGAAAAATGTCACGCGATGGGACAAGCCGCACGTGAGGCTTTTAATTCGATGATAGATGAAAAACGCAAGAAAGGTATCAATTACATTTACAGATTGAATTTACGTACAACGATACATGAAATAATAAAAATGTTGCGTAAGCTGCCGAGATAATCAAGGAATCGCGCCAATTAAAATTAATACTGGCTAATCAAAAAGAAGAAGAAGCGCAGCGAAAGATTCATTTGATTCAAGAAATCAAAGCAATGCAAACAAAACGATCAAAAGCAAGGTACAAAAATTACGATCCTGCAGAATCGAGTGGTCAAGGACTTCTGTGCGAAATGTCTTTAGCTGAGGTCTGACTCATATATCAAATTACAATTAGATAATATTAATTGTACAATATAGATGATGAAAAAAAGTGCCAAATTCATTCCTCGCATTGTAGTTAAGAGAAAAATTGCTGTCTATGAAGACGAGACTAAACGAGGAAGTCTTATGTCGAAATAACGTCATTCGACAAGAACGAGAAAGAAGAAAAAACTTGATGCAAAACAATCAACGGTTTCTCGAACTGCGTAAAATGATGGATCGCAGTTTCGCTCAGAAATTATCTTTATCGTAATAATTATCGTCATAATGACATTATAAGTAATGTCTAAACGTTTTGCAATAATTACAATGCATTTAATAAAGAGTCGTTTTTTTAACTTAGCGGATAAGCATCGCATATAGTTTCATAAATTTTCCGGAAATTAAATTTTTGTTGAAATTGTTAAAAAAAACAAAAGATATAAAGATAGCGAAAAAGAAAAAATTATTTATTAGAATTCATGAGATTCAGTATAATATTTTATTATATAAACGGAATTATTGACACCACTAATTGTACAATTTGATTTTCTCGTATAAATATTATGTACTTTACAGATACTTTCTTATTTATTGATTTAAAATTAACTTGATCATGTGTAATATATATAAAGATATGTAAAATAAATAAAAATAAATAATGTAACATGAATTGTTGAATTATTTTAGATTAATTAAATTATCTGCGTTTTATTAGTATAATAAAATTCTTAAAGTAAAGAAAGATATATTTTGTAAATGGATCAAAAATTTACCGGAAAATGTTAATAAAAAACAATACAATACAGACGAATTAATCTTATAAATTAGCATTTTTAAAATATAGATGTTGCAGTGCTCATGTGCTGTGTGCACTTACATATAATTTTTTTACGTGAATTCGTTAATTATATCTATTTTAAGTAATATTAGTATATATATATTAAGTAATATCAATAATTTATTAACTTTGACAGATTAAAAATGTTATATAGAATAAATTTCACAAATTTGTGTTGAATTAATAGAGCCAACAAATGCGAAGCATGCTCAGAACGCAAACTCTGCAGCGTTCCCCACCAAAATATTTTCATTTTGCCTAGAAACGTTTTCCATATTTTTTTTCTTACAACACTCTTAAGTCGAAATTCAAGCATAGTCAAATTAGTTGCGTTATAAGCAATGGTGGTTGCTTCTAACCTTAATAAAAGCATTTTTAATATTACTCGAAAATAAAAAGACGGATACATGAAGAAGCCATAAGAAAGAACAAGGTAAAAGATGCATATACAATTGAGATTGTAACATATTAAAGAAAATAGAAACATTATTAATAACATTAGCGTGTATTCTGTAGAATGGAACAACATAGGAGAGATATAATATACGACTTGAAATTCAATATTGGACGTTTAGTTTTAAGAACACTAAAAGCTACACCGAATTTTGTTGGTCAGGTAATAAAATTTTATTCTTATATCATGGAAATATGAATTCATTGTCCTCCGACATTGACTCCTTAAGGAGTCATTGTCGGTTAACAATGTCTAATTATGCGATTTTATTAGACATTGTCCTCCGACATTGACTCCTTAAGGAGTCATTGTCGGTTAACAATGTCTAATTATGCGATTTTATTAGACAATACGTACTGTACGATTTGATAGTAGCGTGATTGACACGTCTCGTAGGTGGAATATGGAACGGGAAGGCAAAGTACATTTCAGGAGATGAGAGAGAAAAGTGTGATGTGTGCATTATGGCTAAAGAAACAAGGTATTAAACCTGATGACATAGTAGTGATATGCACGAATAACCATTTTGATGCCTATATACCGTATCTAGCGTGTTTGTATATATGTGCAATTGCAAATCCGTGGGATGTTTATCTCACAAAAACAGAAGGTAAGTGAAAGATAAATTAAGATTTTGTTAAATATTTATGTAATTTATTTTTACAGTTATTTATTTATTTATTAAAAACACTTACAGGAAACTTAAGGTATTTTTTGAATCTATGCAAACCAAAGGTAATGTTCGTCGACAGTAAAATTGCTGCAACTGTTTATAAGACTGCTACGGAATTTAATTACTCTACAAAAATTGTAGTTTTTGATGAAATTGAAAAATTCGAATCTCTCCAATCAATTCTGAATAATAATTCTCATAAAGCCGAAATTAATAATTTCCACGCTTCTCGGGATTTAAAACAGAATCACACGGTGATGATATTGTTCACTTCCGGTACGACGGGTTTGCCCAAAGCTGTGAACATTTCTGATACAATTTTTACAGATTGGGCAAACGGCCAGTCTATCTTATCTCGTAATAGCATCGGTCTCTGGTTCGTATCCTTGGGTTGCATTATCGGCGCTGTTATGACTGTTCGTAGTGTGCTCTCTCGTGTTAAAGTAATAAAACCAACGCAATGTTTCTATTCAGAAGATATGTGTGACATGATACAAAAACACAGAGTACGTGTGCAATCAAATTTTTATTAAAAATTTAAAGAAATTTAATAGATGCAAAATATTTATACTTTTCTTAAACATATTTTTATTTATTTTAGGTATCTTGGGTAATTCTTGAAACTAATGTGTTGTATCATTTATTACCTTGTTTCAATTATGATCTCTCGAAGCGATACGATATATCGTCCTTAAAATGCATCATATTTGGTGGTTTTAGACTTTCTGGTAGTATTCACAAGAGATTTTGTAATGCATTGCAAGGCGTTTCTATCATTCAAATATACTGTATGTACACATTGCACCTGTAATTAGTAATAAACGAAATAGTGTAGTAATATTTATAAAATTTTAATTCTAAAATTTTCTTAGACACGACTGAAACTGGTATTGTCACGCAGCAGGGGAGACGTGAAAAATATGGCTGTAGTGGTCAGCCAGCTATAGATGTTAATTTAAGGATCATCAGTATACACGGCAATATGTGCAGTCCAATGGAGATCGGTAACATCTATTGCTATACTCTGAGATTATTTAACAGCTATTACAAAAATAGCACAGCTACACTTACTGTAGACATGCAGGGTTAGTTTACCTTTTTTTTTAATGATTTTATAACTATAATATATAATATATCTATCTGTAGACGTCTTCAAATATACATGCAGTAGCGCGTTTACCTATGGGCTTTTGGGGCTTGAGCCTCTGGGCGCCGAAGCGTCAGGGGCGCCACAGCTTCTATATATTCATAAAAAAATGTTCCATTTTCAATTATCTTCTTAATTGTGTTTCGGTAAAATTATATTAATAGGGAGGGAGGCTAGATCGAGGCGCTCGAAGATCACAAGCCCCTGAGCACAAATTTTACAAACGCGGCCCTGTATACATGTCATAAAATTCCAATATGTAGCTTTAATTAAAGATATTTATTATCGAATTTCCAATTATTTGAAGAAAAATAATTTAAATCTTGTAAAAATGTAAAATAATACAAATCGTTAATAAAGAAATAAAAGTTTATGATAAATGATGATTATTACAGGATGGTTCTGTACTGGAGATGTCGGTTTTTTCGATAATGATGGTGATATCTTTGTTCTTGATCGCAAAGTAAATGTTTATAATGGCATACATCATTGGATTATACCAAACCATATTGAAAACGTGTTAGTGCAGCATCCGCGTGTATCCAGTGTTCATATAATACCAATGTTATATCTAAATGAAAACCATCTAATGATATTTGTTGAAAAACTCGATCCGGAGGCACAGGTTTGAAGTCTTTTCTATAAAATTAAACAATTTTAATTATAACAAATTAACATTATTATTATGTTTTAGGTTGACACAAAAGATTTGACAGAATTAGTACGATTTTATTGTTGTAAAGAACTAATGTACTCTTTAAAATATAAGCTTCACTTTTATATTGTAGATGATATACCACGTGATTCCTCTGGCAAAATGGATCTATTGATGTTACTTCAATTAAAAAAAGACTGTTTACTTATATGAACGATGTAAGTAAAGACAGATATCGATCGATCTATATTGACATATGTGATGTATATTAATGTGTGCAACTATATATTTTTTTTCTTTGCGGTCATATAAAAGCGGTCATATATAAAGGATTTATAAATAATATAAAGATTTATTTATAATATAAATATATAATAATATAAAGATTTATTTATAATATAAATATAATATAAATTATATAAGTATATGTTTTATTTAATTATGTACATTAATTTATTTATATAATTTATATTTTATACATATGTATATGTATATAATTATTTATAATTTCATTTATATAATAGTATTTTCTTGGGTTGTATTAATTTTTTTTGCATCATAAATAAATTTAGTAATACATTTAATAATCTTTTTGTACTACAGATTTCCTTACAGTTGTACCGGTAATTATGAAAATGGATTACGTACAAAGTTTTGAAGAAGTATTTTTTCACTTATTTTGAATTATACTAATTTATGCAGTTAAAATATCTCTAAGCAAAAAATGTATGGCTTAGTCTGCTTTCGTAATTGGCAGCACAATTACCCAAAAATTTTATATTGAATGTATTAAATTTCTACTGTACAGGCATATTAATGTAACATGTTACATTAATTAATACAGACATTAATTGATTTTAATATAACGTTTACCAGTGTTATGTTAATATGCCTGTACTTTACTAAAATTGATTCAATATTCTGTATATATAAATTTGTAGTACGTAAACGTAAGCACAAAAAATTAATTTAATAATCGTTACAAATGTATTGTTGCACACATTACGAACACATTATTTTATGTGATTGACTATAAAATATCAATTTTAAAAATATGAGTATATAAAAATGTGTAAGAATATTGTTTTACAATTAAGAAAAAATCATTAATTTTAGTTTAATGAAGATATTAATAAAAAACATGCAGCATTATCTAAAAAATTTAATTAATTTTTTAATTTTAATAAAATATATCTAACATGATATATTTATCCCTCTTTTTGACTTTTCCTATTGATAGCTTATTTAGTTAAATAAGAATTTTATTTGCTTTTTTTATTATAATCATTAAACATAACATTTATTTTTAAGCTCAAAATCATCTTTGAAAATGAGAATATAGCGAAAATCATGTCGCACGTCGCGAAAAAAGAGTACTTGATTGTTTAATAAATAATTTTATTTATATATAATTTTATTATGCATGTTATTAACAATTTTCTTTCAGACAGCACAGATTTTTAAAATTCTGTGTGGTCCCGTTATCATGTTTTATTTATGGATTAAATAAATTTTAAGCTTTCCCTCGTAACACGTAGTTTGCATGACATAAACAAAGGAAATAAATGCTCAGGACATAAAAAAAAGGAAATGCATCAACTTCTTCTATAATTATGAATGCAGCTCTTGCAGCAGCGGTACAGTTGAAAAAAAATTGGGGGGAATATTATATTTTCAAACGATATACATCATTCTTATGTTATTTCATTGACAAATTCTGTTCTATTTTTAATTCACAAAGAGTATAATACGCGAATGGTTAACTAGTGACTAGTCAATTACAGTATTGTATAATTAAAGTAATGATTACAGAATAGTACAAAATATTTGTATACTAATTAAATCTAAATTTCTCTTAATAATCTTGTATGATAATTATATTTTTACGATAAAAATTTTATTTTCCAAAAATTTATTACAGATAGATAAGATTATATATAATTTTGTACGTTCCTACAAAGAAAACTCCATGTTTTAAATAAAAAAAGATGTACAATATTATTTGTGCAAGTTATTACAAGATAAAATCAATGGTAACGAGGACATATTTTGTCTGAGTTGCTTTGCTTGTAACTAATCGATTGTTCTAGCAGCGGCGTATTTGTACATTATATTTATTTAAGTGTGTCAGAGCTTGTTTCACCAATGCATCCATTAAACGTTATTACCTAAACCCTCCTCCTCTATCTGTGTTATAATCAGAGTTAGAAAAAGAAAGTAGTTAAACTGAATATATAGGTGGAAATAACTCTTTCAGCATAAGCAACACTTATAAAAGACAGCATGCGAACAAAAAAGACCAAACAATGTTCAATTGTACATTTTACTGTAGGCTAACATATCCCGAGTCGAAATTTAGCGTCTCTTTTAATGCTCATACAGCCTATATGAACCTATTTTTACGGAATTAGAACTTAGAACTCCTCTTTTAAAACTTGATCTCCTATAATTTGATGTTGAAATACTACTTTAAACCTATAAAGCCTCACAAAATAGATTGTATTACTGCGAGAACTCCTCCATTAAACCTCGAACTTTTATCTAGTATATATATATATATACTAGA